AACGACGGCGGAGTGACTACAGTCGCCAATCGACGAACAGTAATCTGCCAGGAGCGGAGTCGGTATCTCTTAGAGCGGATAATCGGAATCGGATTCTCCTTCGAGAGCGGTGGATCGGTTCTGATTCTCTTTCGAGAGCGGATGATCGAATCTCTCTATTATGATTACGCGGAATTTTATATACCTCGAATCTCGCTTGATTCGCTATTTACCGCGGTTGTTCGGCGGTCGCGCTGTTTACAATCTTAGAGGACGCGCTGTCCTCTTGCGCTCCTGATTCGCGTTGCTTTTGCGTTTCTTTTATGTGACGATATGCATCGTTACAATTTTACTGATATATTATAATATATGTAAACTTACCCACGTCGTTATCGACGTCTTCTACCGCCGTTCTTATAGGCGAGAAAATCACACGTTTGGTAGAATTTCCTGGGCTATGGAAAATAATAATCATTAATTTCATGTATTTCTAGTGTATTGTAGTTTTTATATAATTATTACGATATTTCGCTTGCCTAGTATGGTTCAGTACATCCCCGATGCGCTGTAATGCATCATGGCTGACATTGCTTCATCGACATATGATTGCTTAACCCTTTGGGGACGAGTGTCGGCATATAGCCGCCCAAGCCGTTTTACCGTTCCGGACGCGTGTCGGCATATAGCCGCCCAAATTAGTTCGTAGCTGCAAGGCTCGCGACGTCTGTCGTTCTGAGCGATAAGATACGCATAGGTATAGTAAAAGAGTCACGTTTTCATTCAAAGACATTAGGGGCCATTAGCGATGAAGTCTTATCTTCCTTATAGCCCGTCGAGCGGCTCCGTCCCCAAAGGGTTAATTGATTGGCTACGACACGGTGCCATGGATTTATTATCTAGTTTCGGAAAATGTATCAATACATGTGTTAATAATTCTGAAGACGAATAAGAGAGGGGATAAAAAATGTTGGTGGGGACTTTGTCTATTATATTAGTAAGATTTAGACTGGTTTCGTCAATCGTTCTGTATAGACGACGTTCGGTGGTAGTTCCCGAATACAGTAAAAAATCAAAATGTACGGTGCTGAGGTGAACGCTAAACACGCAAATTACTACTTGCCTGTTCAACAAGATGGCATCCCACCGTGCAAGAAAAGATTTGAAAAGAATGTATCAATGCAAATTTTTTTAATGCACGTTTAAATTATTTTTCATACATTTAAATTTTGTTATATTTTTTTATAGTATTTCGCAACCACGTTATACTGCTCGTATCCTGGGACGCAGATATGCTCTGACTGCAATGTCGTAAGTAGATATTATAGGCCGGTTCTAACTCAGGTCCTCCGAGGGGGGGTGAGGGGCGGGGGGTACCGCGGGCGTGGGGGGTATGACGTCACGGGTGGTATGACGTCACCGTGGGAGGGGGAGGGGGGTATCAGCAGTCGGTAATTTGGGGAGGGCATGTTACCGGCGGTCGGTAATTTTTACCGATATTATATAACATTTGATTACATAATTTTTACCAACATATAATTACACAATACCGATAATACCAACGATCGGTAATTTATTACCGATCTTATATACCAACATTTAATTTTTTCCCGATATTATATAACATTTAATTACATAATTTTTACCAACATATAATTACCGATAATACCAACGATCGTTAATTTATTACCGATATTATATACCAACATTTAATTTTTTACCAACATATATATTCTTTACATAATTTTTACTATCATCTTTACATAATATTGATGATCGGTAATTACCGATATAATTTTTTCTATCTGCTTTCGATAGGTCATTTTACCGATCTGCGGCGGTTTTCGCGGCGGTTTTGTTC